CACATACAGAATCTGTAAGTTACATCTTGCAAAGAGAAATAAAAAGAGACCGTACCTACATAATTCGGATTTACCGAACAACAATGACAACTGAAAGAAAACAGAAAATCATGTTCTTGTAAAGAACTTATTTCTAAGAAATGGAAATTCGACCACTTTCCCATCCAAACTGATTGAGACATTAATTCAATCAATGTTTAATAGGAGGTTTCTCCCCTTGAAGAGATCCAGAACCACCGTCGGGCCACCAGTTTTTGAAACCGATAACTACAAAAGTAATATCAAATGCGAATATACTCAACATATATTTCTCATAAATAAATATAATAAACTAAACTTTAGATGTATTAGTCACCACTCACGAGTCTGTTACATTGTTTTCTATATGTAGGTAGGTATCTTTAGAATTGAGTAGTGAAGTTAATTTGGGTTTCATTAGTGCCCTAAATTAGTTCATTTTGGGACCTAATTTAGTAATCATGACGAAAGAAAACTTGTTGCCAAGAGTATTTATTTCTCCGCAAGTTTTCTTTTAATAAATAATTTTAAAATTAATAAAAGACATAAATAGAGATGAAAGAAAAAATAGTCGTACGTCAAGACCATTTCAAACTCAGTTGAACTATCTTAATCTTTTTAAGACTTTACCTCCATTTCATGTCATCGATTATATCAACTAGATGGTGTACCCGCGCAACACGCGGGATTTAATTTTAAACTTTTATACTTTGAGTATAAATATAATCAATTGAATTTTAAAAGATTTTACTTTACCCATATGAATTATCTTTCCAAAGTAGTAAAAAGTTTCTCACATTTTTCACTACAATATTTCTCGTTATCTTCTATGATTCACTCGTCGTCTCTCAACATCTACTCTCTTTTCTCCTTAGATCATTTCTATTTTCTCCTTCCTATCATTCAATACTCAATTTTTTTTTTTAAGTTTCATGATCTTTTTATTTAAGTGAACATCAAAACAGAAATATGAGGAAATGTTTATCATAAAGCTTTTTTTTTACCATGTTTTGGTGCATCTAAAATTGCTTTATAGAAAATAGATCTCATATATATACTCATTAATATTCATAAACATAGGATTTCAACGTGAAATTTTGTACTTTATCTTGACCATTTGAAAAATACAAAAATCTCTTTCTACATATATAATTTAATGTATATTATGATTCTAGAAAGTATTCTTAATGTTGATTTTTCTAAAATGTGACACTTACGAACTCATAAAAATTATTCTAATTTTAAAATACATTTATTAAAAAAAAAACAAAATCCTTTTTATTTCTAATGAAAAACTCTTCTATCTACCATTACTATTCTAATTTCCAAATAGCATTCTCAAATATTATTATTACACAGTTTTCATATTCGATAAGATTATTTTATTTTTATTTGTGATGTTTAGGATAGTTTTTTGTTTTATTGCAAATCACCTTAGTTTTTTTCAATCTATGTTAATTTTCTAAACACTAATTAATATTTAGTTTTTCTTTTTTAGGTATTCACTTTTTAATTTAGAAAAAATTAATAATATATAAAATATTTTAATTTAACTACTTATATTATATTATAATTATAAATAATAATATGTTCTAAATTCTTTTTATTTTTTAATCGGTACTCAAATTTTAAATGTCTATTCTAAAAAATGAATTGCTTTCTATTTTAAGTAAAAACCTTTAAATTTGGTATTTTTTAACTCTTATTTTCTTTACTCTACTAAATAATTGTAACTCTTAAAAAATAAATTTTGTACCATTAAAATATATGATAAGTTTCTTTTTTCGTATCTCTAACTATTTAAAAATATTTACTCATTATATGTTAAAATATAATGATCTAATTTATATTTATTCAATCTCTATTCAAAATTTTCATATTTTAAGTTGTATATTTATTTTTTTCGTTTTTTCATAATATTTCATTAATTTTTGTCAATTATTATTTTTATTTAATGTGTGAATTAGTTTTAGTTTAATTGTTTTGTTTTAATAAATGAAATAAGTGGAGCCCACAAAATAATAAATTATGATGACATGGATGCTGATGTGGACACCCTAGATGGAGAGAAGACTCTCTAGTTTTTTTTTTTTTTGTGCAAACACTGATTTTATATCTCATTAAACATGGGCGAGGCCCAATACAAGAGAAGTCAACGACTCCTTTGCCAGAGAATCAGCAGCGTGATTGAGTTTGCGAGAAATGAAATTGAAAGAGAAAACATCAAACAAAGAGGATAGATCGAGGATATCAAAGATGATCCCGTGGAGTTCCTTTGGTCGGAGCTCCGAATTGAGTGATGTGACTAGTTGAGACGAGTCAGAAGCAAGAGAAATGTGGGTGAAACCCAGGTTACGGGCATGTTGAGCCGCGAGGAAGATTGCTATCGCCTCTGCCAAAAGAGGAGATCCAACGTTTGCAGCATAACCAGAGCCATGGCCTAGTTCTATTTTGCGATGATCCGTAAAAATCCAGCCAAATCCTGCATTTTGATCTGGTTTCCAAGCTGCATCTGTGTGACATATAATGATATGGTTCGCCAAAGGTTTGCAGGCTGAGCTATTCACAGGTTTGTCGATCTGGCCAGTAGGTAGTTGGGCTTGGGACCAATCTTTTGCTTTGAGGATTGCCTGTAAGATAACCTCTTCAAGTTGGAGGTGGCGGTCATTGAAAACTCTTTGGTTCCTGGCATTCCAGATCGCCCAGAAGATCCAAGGGGATAGAAGACCCTCGCCTAATCCAATTGGAGGGAGGCACGTGAGGAGCTTTGAGGCTTCATATCCTTCTTTAAAATTGGAGATGTGGTTAGCATTCAATAAGGTCTTGCTGGGCAAATTCTTCCAGATCTGAGCAGCAAATGAGCAGGAGAAGAATAGGTGGACTATCGATTCTTCTGCTCCACAATGGCTGCAGTGCACAGAGTTGAGGATGTTGCGGCGTTTCAGGTTCTCTCCTACAGGTAAGGCGTTTTGCATCGCTTTCCAGAGGAGGAGTGTTATCTTGGGGGAGCTTTTAAGTCTCCAAATATTTGCTTTCCAATCATAGTCATCAAGAGGTGAGGGAGGCTCTCTGCAAGAAGACTCTGAGTTTTCCATGGCCAGGGCTTCATAGTAGCCAGATTTTGCTGAGTAAATCCCCAAAGAAGTCGGAAGCCAGGCCCATCGATCAGTCCCTCCCAGCATGCTTGGACGTAGTTTCAGGATATCTGACTTATTATCAGGTAGCAACTCATCAATCAGGCCTTCATTCCATTTCAAAGAGTCACTGTGAAGGAGATGTGATACCCGCAGATTTTGTGTTGCTTCCGTTGTAGGTCCAAAGGGAAATTGTGGTTTGGAGAGAGATAGCCAGGGATCATACCAAATAGATGTGTCTTCTCCATTGCCCAAGAGTTTGCCAAGATGTGGTTTGAGTAGATTTATGCCCAGGCAGATGCTTCTCCAGCCATGAGAGGCTGAGTTTGGGATATTGCTCTCCAAAAAAGGAGTAGAGTTGCAGTATATTTCCTAAGAGAACTCTGGCCAGTAAGCAAGATGTGTTGGTGTCGGATCCCGCATGGGTGGTTCGGGACCAACCAAAGATTGTCACATAGGCAGGACATAAGCCCATAGAGGACAAGGCCCGATAGACATATAAGCCCAAAAGTTTAGTCGAGGTAGTTATACCACGAAGAGGGATCGGAGTGGTCTCACCACGAGAAGGATACGCAGTCGAAGTTGAAGATCATTTCAGTTCGGGGCTTTTGGGCTAAAGGGCGAAGCCCATGAAGATCAGAATCAATTCAAATTCAAACGTTGAGCATTAAATTCGAAGACCAAAACGGACACATTTAAGAGAGAATAATTGTATTAAATTGAGAGTTAAATGTCGTTTGTTAGTATAAATAATAGGGGCATGAGCCATGTAAAGGAGAGGCAATTTTTCTAGCAAATAAACTATAATCATTTTCATTGCAATTCATAGCTTTTTCATATCATATTTTTGTTCTCAAGAATAATCTTTCCCACTAAATAAGCAAATATTCGAGTGTGTGAATCCAACGTCCACATTTTGGCGCCGCCTGTGGGGAATAGAAGATTCTTGAGTTGTCAGATTTCTCTCACTACATTTCCGAGATAAGCAGCAATGTCTAGAGCAAGCATCCCTGACTCGTCAGTAGCTGAAACTCTCAAGGCCATGCAGCAAACCATGTCAGAAATGTCGCAGAAGTTCTCGGATGTGGAAAAAGCTGTGGACACGCTTAAAACAACCCAGGTATCTCTTGGTCAAAGCGTCAATACTATTCAATCTCGTGTTCGTTCTCTAGGTGCAGGAAATACTGTGGGAGTCCGAAGAAGTATGTTCAGTACGCCAAACTCACGTGTGCGAAATGAAACCAACGAACAAACAACCCCTAACCCAGTAATTCAACCGGTGGAAGAAGAGACGCAGCTCGGAGATGAAAACCAGCTTGTAGATCAGTATGATCAAGAAAGCTTCGATCAGCTCGAAACCATGAGAAAGGTTAGCCAGGAACTAAGAGAAATGAAATCAAAGTTCCACCAGGCCACCAGTTCGGAGCCGGACATCAACCGAGTCATCGAGGAAGCTAGGCGAACACCTTTCATCCCGCGAATTGCAAATTTGAGAATCAAGGATTCTCGGAAACTCAAACTGGACCCTTACAGTGGATTAGAAGACCCAAAGAGCTATCTCGCAGCTTTTCTGATTGCTGCTGGAAGAGTCGAATTGGATGAAGCTGACGAGGATGCAGGATATTGCAAACTCTTCTCGGAAAATCTTTGCGGTCAAGCACTAATGTGGTTCACCCAGCTGGAACCAGGCTCAATCAATAACTTCGACGAGTTATCGGCTGTGTTCCTGAAACAATATTCTATCCTCATGGATAAAAGCGTTTCGGATGCTGACCTTTGGAATCTAACACAAGGGCCAAATGAGTCACTTAGAACTTTCATCACCAAATTCAAGGGGGTGCTGTCAAAACTCCCAAGAATCTCGCAGCAGTCAGCTTTATCTGCCCTATGAAAAGGTTTGTGGCATGACTCAAGGTTCAAAGAGGATCTAATACTTCACAAACCAGACACGATTCAAGACGCACTTTTCCGTGCAAATAACTGGATGGAAGTAGAAGACGAAAAAGAAAGTTTTGCAAAAAGGAACAAACAAGCAAAACCAGCGGTCACCTTCCCTATCAAAAAGTTTGAGCCTAGGGAGAACCAAGGACCAAAAAAGTTCGGATCGCAACCCCTTAACAATACCGTCGGGAAGCAATTTCAAGGAAAAGGAAGGTCAACACTTGGATCCATGACGAAAGTTTGTATTGTGACATCCATAAGGTAACCGGACACTTAACCAAAGACTGTAGTGTCCTCAAAAAACACCTCGCAGAGCTGTGGGCCAGTGGAGATCTTTCTAAATTCAAGATAGAAGATTTCGTGAAGGAATATCACGAAGCGAAGGATACCCCCAAAGATCAGAATTTAAAAAGACCTAGGCAATCCAACGAAGAAGAACCTAGAAGTTCGAAGGGAAAAATCAATGTGATCCTTGGAGGTTCCAAACTTTGCCGAGATACGATCAGTGCCATAAAAAAGCATAGGCGAAATGTTTTACTTAAAGCGAATTTGGGCGAAGAAATTGACTTCCATGGCGCGTCAATATCATTTGACGAAGAAGAAACACATCACCTCGAAAGACCTCATGATAACGCCCTAGTCATTACCCTAGACGTTGCCAACTTTGAAGTATCGAGAATTCTCATTGATACGGGCAGTTCGATCGATTTAATCTTTTTAGGTACTTTGGAAAGGATGGGAATCAGTCGGGCAGACATAGTGGGACCTCCGTCTCCTTTAGTGGCATTCACAAGTGAGTCGGCCATGTCTCTCGGGACGATCAAGCTGCCAGTTCTTGCCAAAAATATGTCAAAATAGTAGATTTTGTTGTTTTTGATAAACCGGCAACCTACAACATCATCCTTGGGACTCCATGGATTTATCAAATGAAGGCAGTCCCCTCGACATATCATCAATGCATCAAATTTCCAACTCCTAGTGGAGTGGAAACAATTCGAGGAAGTCAAGAAGCTTCACGAACGTGTTATCTGACCAGTCATCGACTGAAGATCCAATAGCAATTAACGAAACCTGCGAAGAAGGGAATAATTCCAAGATTTCCTAGTGGGCAGAAAGAGGATGATGTAGTAATCGAAGTAGTATTAGAAGGAGACAAACCAGATCGGAAAGTCCGAATTGGAGCTACTTTGACTGGCGAAATAAAAGAAGCTTTGATCAAACTTCTAAGGAAAAACAAAACGTCATTTGCATGGTCAGCGGCGGATATGCCCGGCATAGATCCAGGCATAATTTGCCACAAACTGAACGTGGATCCAAGTTTCAAGCCTGTAAAACAAAAAAGAAGAAAACTCGCAGTAGAGCGAGCAAAGGCAGTAAATGATGAAGTGGACAAACTATTAAAAATAGGATCTATAAGGGAAGTACAGTACCCGGAGTGGGTAGCAAACACTGTCGTGGTCAAAAAGAAAAATGGAAAAGACAGGGTGTGTATCGACTTCACCGATCTCAATAAAGCATGTCCAAAAGATAGTTTCCCGCTCCCGCATATAGACCGGCTCGTGGAATCTACCGCTGGGAATGAATTATTAACCTTCATGGACGCCTTCTCGGGTTATAATCAAATAATGATGGATCCTGAAAACCAAGAAAAGACGTCATTTATCACGGACAGAGGTACTTATTGTTATAAAGTAGTGCCTTTTGCTTTAAAAAACACAGGTGCAACTTATTAACGGTTGGTCAACAAAATGTTCCATGAGCATCTCGGAAAACAATGGAAGTCTACATAGATGATATGTTGGTTAAGTCTTTGAAAAAAGAGGATCACATTAAGCATTTGGAGGAGTGTTTCGAAATTCTCAACCAATATCAAATGAAGCTGAACCCGGCGAAGTGCACTTTCGGAGTTCCATCCGGAGAATTCCTTTGTTATATTGTGACAAAAAGAGGAGTTGAAGCTAATCTAAACCAAATCAATGCCTTTCTAAACATGCCATCTCCGAAGAACTTCAAGGAAGTACAGCGTTTGACTGGTCGAATTGCAGCCCTAAACCGATTTATTTCAAGATCAACGGACAAATCTTTACCTTTTTATCAAATTCTTAAGGGAAACAAAGGGTTCCTTTGGGATGAGAAGTGTGAAGAAGCTTTCGGACAACTTAAAGCATACCTCACCACTCCACCAGTGTTGTCTAAACCCGAAGTGGACGAGAAGCTCTATTTGTATGTTTCAGTGTCAAAACATGCAGTTAGTTGAGTCTTGGTCCGAGAGGACCGCGGAGAGCAAAAGCCGATTTACTACATAAGTAAGTCAATGACAGATCCAGAAACAAGGTACACAATGATGGAAAAACTCGCACATGCAGTAGTAACTTCAGCCCGGAAGCTACGTCCATACTTCCAATCTCATCCAATCCAAGTGTTAACCAACCAGCCACTCCGAATAATACTTCATAGTCCAAATCAGTCCGGACGATTGGAAAAGTGGGCAGTGGAGCTGAGTGAATATGATATAGAATATAAAAGCCGGGTCAGCATGAAGGCTCAGGTTTTGGCAGATTTCCTAACCGAACTACTAGTGCTGAGGACACCGGAGCAACCAGAGAATCAGACTTGGAAACTGTATGTAGACGGATCTTCATCAAACAAGGGTCTGGGGTAGGAATCAAGTTGGAATCCCCAACGTCGGAAATTCTTGAACAATCATTCCGTTTATTGTTTAATGCTTCTAATAATGAGGCAGAGTATGAGGCACTAATTGCCGGAGTTCGACTGGCACAAGGGGTTGGAGCTGAAGAAGTGGTTGCTTATTGTGATTCACAGTTAGTAGTTAATCAGTTCAATGGCGATTATGAAGCGAAAGACCTGAGAATGGAAGCATACCTCGAAGTAGTGAAAGGTCTTTCCAAAGACTTCAAGAAATTCGAACTAATTCGCATACCTCGAGGAGAAAACACAACCGCGGATGCACTTGCCGCATTAGCGTCAACATTAGATCATGAACTAAAAAGAATCATTCCGGTTGAATGTATCGCAGAACGAAGCATTAAAACTGACAAAGAAGTTCTCGTTGTTACAAGGTCTCGAGCAGCAGCGCGTGAACGTGGCGAGCCCGAGGTCGAGCTGCCACCTGTTAAACGGAGGAAGTCGAAAAAGCACAACAAGGAGCCAGATATACTTCTAGAAACTGTTATAGAGACGGAACCGTTAGTCGAAAACAACCATCCCGAACCAGACCTTGAACCAAATGAACATCCCGAACCGGAACCACGAGTATTTCATGAGATTGACCAAATTCCGGCTAAAGATTGGGGGGCTGATTGGAGGGAGCCAATAAAGCACTACATCATGACAGGTGAGATCCCGAAAAATAAGTGGCAAGCCAGGAAAATGAGAATCGTTAGCGCGAAAATTTGTCTATCGAAGGATGCGTTGTATAAGCGGGCTGTCAGCGACCCCTACCTATTGTGCATTTTTGGGCCCAAAGTCGAAATCGTCGTGAGAGAAGTACACGAAGGTCTGTGTGGGAGTCATGCGTCTGGAAGGGCCATGGCTTTAAAAATAAAAAGGATGGGCTATTATTGGCCCACTATGATCACGGATTGTGTCAAGTTCGCCCAAAGGTGTAAACGTTGTCAACTCCATGCACCGTTGATCCATCAACCTTCAGAGTTATTCTCCTCCATCTCTGCCCTGTACCCATTTATGAGGTGGTCGATGGATATTCATTGGACCATTGCACAGATCAACTCGAGGAGTACAATACCTGTTGGTCTTGACGGATTATTTTTCAAAGTGGATTAAAGCTGAAGCATATGCTAGCATCAAAGATTCGGCGGTGAATACTTCATTTGGAAGAATATCATATGCCGACATGGGGTTCCATACGAGATAGTTACTGATAATGGGCCACAATTCATTTCGCACGAGTTTGAAGCTTTTTGCTCGGAATGGGGAATCAAGGTCAGTTATTCTACTCCACGGTATCCACAAGGAAATGGCCAAGCCGAAGCTGCGAACAAAACAATTTTGAGCAATTTCAAAAAACGTTTGAATCACCTAAAGGGAGGGTGGTATGATGAACTCCAACCCGTCCTATGGGCTTATCGTACAACCCCTAGGCGACCTACTGGAGAAACTCCGTTCTCTCTAGTTTATGGCATGGAAGCAATAGTACCGGCTGAACTCAACGTGCCTGGCCTTCGCCAAACAGAAGCACCATTGAATAAGGAGGAGAATTCAGCAATGCTCGACGACTCGCTGGATACCATTAATGAAAGACGAGATCAAACATTAATTCGGATACAAAATTACCAGCAAGCAGCAGCTCGATACTATAATTCCAAAGTCAAAAGTAGGCCATTCTTTGTAGGAGACTATGTGCTAAGGCGAGTTTTCGACAATAAAAAAGAGGAAGGCGCAGGCAAACTCGGCATTAATTGGGAAGGCCTTATATTGTTACCGAAGTGGTTCGAAATGGTGTTTATAGGTTGAAAGACTTAGAAGGCAGTCCAGTCCAGCGACCTTAGAACGTGATCAATCTAAAGAAGTTTTATGTTTAAATAATACGCATTTTATTATGTACATGAACTACGGTGTGGCTTGATCCCGAAATGGGTACGTAGGCAGCTCGAAAACGAGTTCAGCTATTAATGAAAATTTGTTTTTATTTCTTAAAAAGAAAAAATTCGACTAGGCGAATGCACAAAAACTGGAAGCAAAACATTTATTCAAACAAATAAGACAAAGTGTCGATCTTCGCACACTTCGAGTTAGGAAAACCCTCCCGGAGAGCAGAACACTTGAACTCCTTGACCAGCGAGGTCAAGAACTGGCATCATACAATCCGGGATACGAGCAAAATCGGAGATTCCGAGCTTAATCCACTCTCCGGGGTGAGAACTAAGGATGTGAAGATCCCTTGATATCGCAGTAACCCTGCGTTGCATTCGATGAATCTTCTTCCGAAGTTTTTTATTTTCCAGCGATAGCTTCCTGTGTTGAATTGCGAGCGCTTTGATAAAGGCCATCGTGATCTCCCGGTCTCTATCTGGAAGGTCTTTGATCAAAGTGCATGGAGCTTGGATCTGAGATCTGAAAAAGCCGCGAAGTGGAGAAGATCGTCTACTTGGAACATCTTCATCTATCATTCCGATCCTGGAGAAGTCCGGCATAGACTCTGAACATCGAAGGTTAAAATCCATATTTGCAGAAGTAAGAAGAATAGTGAGGAACGAAGGGAATTTGAAACTGTAATTTATAGGGACGTCGTATCCCTAGCAAGCTGCGGATTCAACCCGGAAATGGAGTGATTCGCGGAGAGATTTATGCCCTTAAACCGATCCTGCATTAAAAGACGTATCTCCAAGAATGATATGAGAATTAAAAGAGTTGCAAGTGTTTCCATAAATAAAAAGGGCCGAGGCCCATTACGAGTTCAAAAAAAAAAAAAAGAGAAAAGAGAACGAAGTTTGAGACATTTATGGAAGAGGCTCAGGAACAGGCTCCTTCATCGCCGATTTAGAATTCGAAGTGAAAGCATCGTCCCTGCCTTCCACTCCGAGTTCATTCCGAACACGTTTGCAAGGTTTGTCGTCATCTTCCTCGTCTTCCTCTTCGCTGACAAGAGGAGCAACTTCGGTCGGGGCATTCACTGGTCCCTGAACCTGACCTTTAGCGCGGAGATACATCCGGGGCATTCTCGGGATCTCTGCGATAGAATCAAAGTTCCTCCACTCCCATTGAAAGGGATCACTTTCCAAGGCTCTCACTTTCCTTTCCACCCGAGCAATACGAGCCTCGAGTGTTTGCCTCTTGAGTCCTAGCCGTTTCCTCTCGTCGCATAAACGGCGATGTTTGTCGACGACCTGTCACAAGAATAAGTAAATCAAAAGAAAAAGGCATAGGAGTTTTGTCGAGAGAGGCGAATTCTGACCTTGTCCATGAAGTCGTAAGCCTCTTTCTTCTCCCTCGAAGGAAAGTGGAACACGGCGTGAGGAAAGAGAACGCCGGCCGGCTCGAAGCCGTCGCCGAACAAGAATAGTGGGATGCCAGGATCGATGGGGGTCATATTTTCGTTCTCCATTATTGTGAAAATTACCAAGGAATTTTGGAGTTCTTTGGAAAAAGTTAGAGGCAAACTTGCCTCTATTTATAATAGGTCTAGGGTTTATCTTGAAACCGTAAATTTAATGATGGTAGCATGCCCGAGTGGTTAAAACTGTTTTTGAAAACAGAGAAAAGGCAGTTATTGCCTTAAAGACGTGCGGCTTTTCCTATTTCCCAAGAAAGGGAAAGAGTAACCGTCGCATTTAAGGCAAGAAGCCCATTAAGCACAAAAGTTTTTAAGGCCCAAGCCCAACGAATTCATCAAAGTTGACTAAACCCGAGGTGGGGACCTCGCGTTAAGCCGAGCTCAGTTCTCGCATTCCAAGAAAAGGGCCTGATTAGCCTAAAAATCTCAAAAAACATAGCCACTAGGCCAAAGAGTGTTAAAAGCGGACCTTGCAAACCCGCATTTTATTTTAACCAAACCCCCTAGGGATTATAATTCAAAAAAAAGGTTTAAAAGCCTCCTCAGGCAAATATCTTGTTCGAAAGAAGTTGATAAAGCCTCTTTAGGAAAAAGCAAAAACATAAAGATTTAAGTCTCAAAAAAAAAAATATGGGACAAGCCCCAATTCGGAGTGGACACAGCCACTACGAATCAGCAGACACCTCGGCCTCCACTTCAGATGTTAGGGTCTCACTTGCCTCTTTAGCTGGGACTTGCTCAGAAGAGGCTCTCTGCTCGTTCCCGATTGCGCAATCATCTTCTGGGGTGACAACCGACGCAACAGGGACTTCCGATGAAGCGACGTTCCCCGTTTCATGTGAACCTAGGAGGAACGGTTCCAGTCAGCCAAAAATTAAAAGCAAGTAAAGGGTTAGTGTTAAAAGAACATGGACTTACCAGCCCAGTCTAAACTGGATTTGCCCAAGGGGGGTGACTCGGTGAAGAACTCCTCAAACTGCTGAGGATTGAAAGAGGAAGCAGGGATGGCTGCGAGCCGACTTCGTTTTTCAGCCAAATTATTCGTTAGCTCGGCCTTTTCCTGCTCTTCGGAGAAGCCCTCTTCGTGGATTTGTTCCAACAGGAGTAAGTTGCTCTCGTACTCTTTGACGTCCGATTCCAAAATCGATCGTGCTTTCTCGGTTTGCATGAAGCGGATGGCCCCCTGGATCAAGTCCATCCCATGTCCCTTGACCTCTTTCCTAGCCTTCGACGCTGACCTCGCCAACTCGGAGTCCCGTAATTTGGTGATCGCCTTATACTTAGCGTCAAGCTCATCGAATTGGTTGGACAGATTATAAGCAGCTGATTCGGACTCGGTCAGTCTGTCCTGAACACCAGAAAGTTCCCCCTGGAGTTGGTAATTCCAATCTTGCTGGTCCCGCAGTTCGCGCTTTATCGTCCCGAGCTCAGATGTGAGACTGTCGACTTGGTCCTCCAGTTGTTGCTTGGAGCCGGAAGATAAGTGGAGGTCAGCTTCAACAGTAGTAAGCTTGCCTTTCAACGAACCAATCTCCTGTAGTTGGCTAAGCAGCAGTCCCTCGTAGTGCTCAACCATATCGTTGAGTTCACTGTTTGCCTGGCATTTCATATAAATTCGGGATGGAGAGTCAGTATGAAGGGTAATAGCGAAACTAAAAAAAAAAAAAAAAAAAAAAAAAAACTTGGTGGAACTAACCCGAGATGAGTGGTGCGCATGAAGCAAATAGCGTTCGCAAATTGCCGGACGCCACTTGTCGAATTCTGGCAGGATTAGACCCGACCGGGTCTTAAAGCATCGGAAGACGCTACCTTCTTTCTCCATAGCTGTGAAGGAAGAAGAAGGGGAATTGTAATATTTTGAATCAGGATGGGGTGAAAACCTTTAAAGAATGCATGAATCACCACCTGTAAGCGATTTGACCTGGGGGACAAGAGCAGGTTTTGACTTCGGGGAAGTATCTTGAGACCTAGAACTTTCCTTCTGGGGAGACACGCTCCGAGCAGTCTTCTCACCATCATGTTTGGAAAAGAAGGACATGTCAACAGGAGCAGGAGGACCCATTGGTTTAGTAGGAGGGGACGATCAAGGTGAACGGTCAGTCCGGGCCCTCGACTTCTCCCTATGCGGAGAAGAATCACTACGAGATGACTTGTCTCTCTTCCTGCGAACCAAGTTCTTAAGCGGTTCGTTGCTAAAATCATCCCAGAGAGGACGAGGAGAATCACGACGAGGAGATCGGTCCCTCCGAGGAGAACGATCGTCACGACGTTCACGATGGGGTGTTAATCTGAAAGCAGCGACAGATCTGGCCCCCTCGGTGTTGTTGTCGTCGACCAGCAAGGTCCAGCTGTAGTCTTTCTTATCAATAGCGGCCGCAAGGAGCGCCTTGTTCTTATCACAAGCCTCTGTTATCGGCTTGGAGAGTTTCTTACGCTGGGCAATGAGGGCCCGAGCTGACATTCCCTGAGTTGAAGGAGGAGGCGGAAGACGATGAAGGTGATTGGGAGGACTCATCCTGAGTTTTCGATTGGCTTCAACAAACCGATCGAGAGTGAAAGAATTCCAAAGGGTTTCCCCTTCAAGGATTGTTTTGAAGAATTTGACGAATTCTTCAGTCGGAAGAGTCGAAGCGATGAAAGCTGCGAAGTGAAACAACGAGTTTTGTCAGTAAAGATAAAACAACCAGGAAAGGAATATACGACCTAGTTTCTAGTAGGCTTTGCAGACCACTTCGATGGGAGTACATCGGAAAGATTTCCAATCGAAGTAGGAGTTTTCTTAATCAGGAACCAACGATGGTGCCAGTTTTCATCCTTGTTCGGGAGGTGCGAGATGACGTTCCTGTTGGCATTTGGATATGCCGAGAAGTACCCCGTTTTCTTTGACGAACTTCTCACACTTAGAAGTTCGTTCGGCTCGGGGACCCCAATAATGTAGCCAGCTTCCGCCGCAACGGTTATGATCCCAAGGATGATTCAGAGGAGATTGGGGGTTAGCTGAGGTAAAGCGATTTTGAGAGCCGCCAGGTATCGAACTAGGGCTTCAGGAAGGGGGAAGGTCAGTCCACAGCCCTTGAAATAGATTTCGTAAACACAAAAGTAGCCATCGCGGTGGTTTTTCGGGGACTCCGTAGGGTCGGCTATATGTGCTTCTGCTATGATTCCAGGGGGAATCTGGCAAAGCCCCTTTAATCGCTCTAGGGATTGAAGAGTACAGGTGGATCTGTAGTGTGGACCAGCAATGTCGTTAGGACGAGTGCATTCGTCATTGCTAGAACGTCTCTCGTCATAAGACGGAGACTCAGATCTTTCAGAATCGGAAGTCATCGGAGAAAACAAAAAATTCAAAGGTCCGGCGAAGAGGGTTTGGCGAAAGAGAGAAGTTTTGATTAAAGCGCAAAAGTAAAAGTAAAAAATGATGACGAGAAGAAGTTACCTTTCACAAGCTAAATGATGGAACCGCCTCGGAAGTTGTGTGGGAAGTGGGAAGGTTTTTCCCGTCTTAATAGTAATAAATTAATATACGGTCATAATGGTGACAGATGTCACTCGGTTAAAAATGGCTAGTGCTGGAATTAAAGGAGTGATGAGATTTTCGGCGGGAAATCAGAAGATCCTTAAGCGCAATCTTTGGTCGTTTCAGCATTAAAATCTTCCGAATTGAGGTAGCACTTCGAAAGACTTGGGGGGCTAATTATTGGTGTCGGATCCCGCATGGGTGGTTCGGGACCAACCAAAGATTGTCACATAGGTAGGACAGAAGCCCATAGAGGACAAGGCCCGATAGACGTATAAGCCCAAAAGTTTAGTCGAGGTGGTTATACCACGAAGAGGGATCGGAGTGGTCTCACCACGAGAAGGATACTCAGTCGAAGTTGAAGATCATTTCAGTTTGGGACTTTTGGGCTAAATGGCGAAGCCCATGAAGATAAGAATCAAATCAAATTCAAACGTTGAGCATTAAATTCGAAGACCAAAATGGACACATTTAAGAGAGAATAATTGTATTTAATTGAGAGTTAAATGTCGTTTGTTAGTATAAATAATAGGGGCAGGAGCCATGTAAAGGAGAGGCAATTTTTCTAGCAAATAGACTATAATCATTTTCATTGCAATTCATAGCTTTTTCATATCATATTTTTGTCCTCAAGAATAATCTTTCCCACTAAATAAGCAAATATTCGAGTGTGTGAATCCGACGTCCATAAGATGGTTTAGTGATAATTCGCCAGCTGACTTTTGCCAGCAGGGCATCATTGAAGTGTTGGATGTCACGAAATCCCAGTCCACCATTTCTCAGTGATCTTGTCATCTTCTTCCAAGAGATCCAAGACATCTTCGTCTTTTCAGTGTTAGCGTCCCACCAGAAGCAGGTGAGAGCTGATTGAATACGCTTGCAAAGGGAAGCCGGTATTTTAAAGCAAGTCATTGTGTACGTGGGCATAGCTGAGAGTACAGATTTTAGCATGATCATTTTACCAGCAGAAGAAAGGAATCTTGAAGACCAGCTGAGCGCTTTTTGCTTGATTCTATCTATGATCATAGTGAACATATCTTTCTTCTTGCGACCAAAAAGTTCTGGTAAGCCCAAATATTTGCCCTGTCCTCCTTCATTTGAGATTCTGAGAATTCTCTTGGCCCTCTCCTTTGTATCAGTCTTCGTTTTGCCTGAGAATGTTATGGCTGATTTCTGTTGATTGATTTTTGGACCGGAGGCAGTTTCATACGTCTGGAGGATTGTTGCTAGTTCCTTACAGTTCTTTTGGTCTGACTTGCAGAAAAACATCGTATCATCAGCGAAAAGTAGATGATTAACTCTCGGACTAGTTATAGCAACTCGGATACCCAACGGTTTTCCATTTGATTGAGCTCTGTTGCATAGTCCGGATAACACTTCGCTGCACAGTATGAAGATGTATGGAGATAGTGGATCACCTGGCGTATTCCACGTTCAGGTATGACCAATCCCTTGGCAGTTCCATTTAAAAGGAAAGAGTAGGAAACAGTGACTATACACTACATAATCCATTGAATCCACTGTTGGTGAAAGCCGAGTTTCTCTAGGACGAGTTTGATGAAGTCCCACTCTAGTCTGTCATACGCTTTGCTCATGTCCGTCTTAACTGCCATGTAGCATACCTTCTTTGCTTTTGACTTTTTTAAGT